TTTCCTCATTGTACAAACATCACAGAGTGTCCTCCACAGTGACGGGAAAGCTCTGTTGCCACAGGGGAATGGCTTCATCTCACCTGTAGTGGATTTAGCTCAAGAATCCACAGCAGCTGAAAGATGTGTTTCTGGAGGTGGAAGGGGTTCTAGTTTGCCATTGGGGACTGAGCTGGCTCCTGCCCCACAGGTGACACAGTGGCTTCTGGGAGCTGGAGCTCTCCTTCTGGGGAAGGTGACAGAGCTGTCCCTTTCCATTGATGGTGGTAATACTGATGACTTTTTGTCCTCAAGCTGAGAGGCTTTGGCTCTGGGCTGCCTCAAATCTAATGACATAAATGGGGATACTGCTGCTGGGGACAGCACTATATCTCCAGGTGGCACTGGAGCTGCAAGAGGAAAGATCCCTAATATGACTGTCTTTCTCTGAGCCTTTCCTAATCCATAGAAGATCCTGCCTCTGAGATCATGCCTCTACCCCAGCCCCTGTCCCCACAACAGGATGTCTTTATAGATTGGGGTCTACTGCCTGCACAGTCCCAGGCTTATCCTGCTTCTGGCCGAATGTCTGTCCCTTGAGCTTCCTCCCAGCAGGACCCAGCACCAACTTCTCTCAAACACTCTATGTCACCCTCAGGTCTTCTCACTGTCAGGCTCAACTTCACTGGGATCTGGATCCCTTCTGCTGGGACAGGATCCTATGGACATGGAGGGTCAGTTCCAAGCCAGCCATGTTGAGCAGCACATAGGCCATTAGCCCGGTCAGGCTGGCCATATCTGGATACCCACAAAAATCCTTAGGGTATTTGTCCAGCCAGGTTTGCAGGATGGAGCAAAGTGTGCTGGGAGACATGCAGACAGGCAGGCAAGCAGGCAAAGTTAGGGGCTTGACCTCTCCTTCCCTAGGCCCTTCCAAGCCCCCTGCAGGGTAGGTTCCCATACAGAGGCTGCCCAGCCTGTAGGTGCAGCTGCTCACAGAGGGCAGTCTTGTCCAGTCTCAATACAGAATTGTAGGGGCAAGCCTAGTTGAATGGACTGTGGTGGAGATGAATTCTCACAGTGCCTGGCTCTGAGCCCCCAGCTTGCTCTCCTCTGCCAGGTGCCCTGGACCCTATCTACAGCTATGTGTCTTCCTCCTCCTGCAGGCTTAGCTTCAGACCTCAGCCCTCTGAGGGGAATCACAAGAAGTTTGAGACTCATGGTTTGCCCAGCCCTCTTCAACCTCAGTGCCCTCACTCTGGGGACGCGAGCTCTCCTTCTTGATCCAAACCCCACTCACTACTTGATTGTTCTCTTCACAGTCAAGGTGGAAGAATCCATACCTAGAGGAAGACAGGAGGGTACCATTTCTAACGTCCGACAGGAATGGCAGCCCAGGAGGACTGGGCTTTTTTGCATCACTCCCTAAATTATATGCTAAATGCCTGGAAATGTGTCTGCATACAGTAGGCACTTCATATATGTTTTTGCAATGAAAGAACACAACCACCTCTTCCTAGAATCTCAGTGGGCCAGGGGATCCTCATTCTACTCCCTGGTGTCCCTGGTCTGGCTACATCTAGGTTGGGGACCCTCTGAAATGGATTCTGGAACATCTTTTACAAATAAGGAAACTGCTTTTCCCAAAGCCTTAGATAAGTGAGGCCTAAGGCAGAGTTTTTTCACGTTGGGGGGGGGGGAGTCACACATAAGAAACCTGCAGGCCTTGGGCAGCCCACTTTGCAGGGCCAGGACTGGGGCAAGGATTTCCTTGGCTTATCCCACTTGGTCCTGAAAATACGCTAGGAGGGTGATCCTCTGAAAATCCCAATTTTCACAGAGCAAACTGGGGCTTAGATGGTGCAGGGCTTTCCCAAGACTCAGCCAAGCAGGTGGCGAGTTCCCTTGGGCCTAAAGGTTGTGTGCACCTTCGGAACATTAGGTTCAGCATCTGCTGGGTGGTGACAAACCTTCAATAGATGCACAGGAAGACACAGACAAAGCAGGGGTCTCCACTCTGTAGGGCAGGTACCAGGTATTTCAGTAACTTCTCCACCATGCCTGCCTTGAGGGTCCCCATCCTGTTGGGATCATCCAGGGTTGGGGATGACTGATTTTCCCCATGGAGTGGGACCAAGGAGAGACAGTTCAAACAGAAAATAGCAGTAAACTGTAAAATGACTCCCTGCCATACAGTGAGGTGAAAACGGCACACAAAGAATCCTCCTTCTCAGGGCGAAGTGGCACATGCCTGTAATCCCAGCAACTCTGTAGGTTGAGGCAGGAGGATTGTGAGTTCAAAGCCAATCTTAGCAACTTAGCGAGGCCCTAAAGCAGCTTAACAAGACTCTGTCTCAAAATAAAACATAAAAAAGGGCTGGGAATGTGGCTTAGTGGTAAAGCACCCCCGAGTTCAATCCCCAGTATTAAACAAGAAAAAACCAAACTTCCTTCACATTAATGTATACACATACATGCATTCACGTGTGTGCACATACACAATTGGGCAGGGTCTGGGGCTGTTCATGGAGGGATCAGAGTGGTAGGCTGCCCTGTCTAGCCTCTGGGCTCCTCTGGGAAAATTGCCAAAGGTGTCAGGGGTGAGGGCTGATCCACTGTCTCCAGATGAGGACAAGACCCCCACTCCATGCTTTCCGGAGGCAGAAACCTCAGGAATCTGCAAGTGAACATATGTCCACCAAGGTCTTCAGACAAGTGATCTGGATGGGGCTGGCTCTGGATTATGGGTGACTGGTTACCAGCGTTCCAGGTTCTGTTATTTCATTGTCAAGGAAATGAGGTCACTTCCTGGGCTCTTCCACACAAGATCATCCCCAAAGCTCCCTGGGACGTTGACTGCTATCCTCTCCCCATGACATGTGCACAAGTGGACAGGGTTACCCTCTGCCCCATCATTCCCAGGCCTGGGTGCAGCTAGTGTTCCAGATTTGGGGAGACAATGGGGTTCATCACTGGATAGTGTTTTTAGGAGGTCCCTCTGAAGGAAGAAAGACACCTTAACTCAGCCCTGGCAGGTTTGTGACTTGTGTTGCAGAAAGGAATTTGGGGATGTATCCAATGAGGCAAAAATGAAGATTTATTTGGGAAAGCAAGGGGATTTATTAAGGAAAGCAAGCAACAGAGCAGAATGTGCACTCCAAGGATGGAGTGTGGTGCTGGAGAGTGAGATGCACTTTTGGGATGCACCCTTCCTTTTAAAAGAAACTTTGTGGGCTGGGGATGTGGCTCAAGCGGTATCGTGCTTGCCTGGCATGAGTGCGGCCCGGGTTCAATCCTCAGCACCACATACAAACAAAGATGTTGTGTCCACTGAAAACTAAAAAATAAATATTAAAAATAAATAAATAAATAAATAAAAGAAACTTTGTAATTAGTGAACATGAGAAGTATGTAGAGATAAAATCACATCACATCATCTGGTGAACTCATAACGGAAGTCCATTTTATGCTTTGAGTACAAACCTTGCTGCTCCACTGCAAATGGCTTATTTTAAAAATTACATTCCCTTCTCCCTTCTTCTTCTTCCTCCCTTTCTCCTCCCTAACAGTGGGTGAGATAAAGCTAACATTTTTCTTGTCCCAGGCTGAGCATCTATCATGTCCTTCACTGCTGGAAGAGTGTTACTGCCCACAAGAAAAAAGAAACTCCAAACCCAGGAACTGGAGTAATGGCTTTCTCAAGGACACTGATGGACACTAATTATATTTACTGATAATATTTGTATCCCAGACCTTATGTTCCTCTTTTAAAAGTCTCCATGTTCCCCCTGGCAGGGAGAATCACAGCATCTGGACAGGAGTCCCTGTGTTTCTCTTTTCCAAGCAAAACAATAAAGCTTTTCCTTTTTCTCAAAATCTTGTCCTTGTTGTTGGATTGGCAATGGGACAAGGACTGAGTTTTTAGTATCAATTTCAATTCTCTTAATCAGAAAGCACAGGATAGTTGGTTCTTTCAGGATCTCTAGGTTGATTTCATCTAGTTAATACATAGCATTAGGACTATACCTATAAATCTTTAACAATATTTTCCCATTAGGCTTAAAAAAAAACCAAATCGTGTAAAGCCGGGCGCCAAGGCACACGCTTGTAATTCTAGCGGCTTTGGAGACTGAGACAGGAGAATCACAAGATCAAAGCCAACCGCCAAACAACTCAGTGAGACCCTGTCTCTAAAAAAAAAAAAAAAAAAAAAAAAAAAAAATCATGTAAACTTGCAACCTATGTGGGAATTTATCATGTAGACTCAACAATACTTTTAAGATTTACAAGGCTTTTAGGAATTCGGAGAAAACAGTAAAGTGAGGATGTACATAAAGCATCTTAGATTTAAAGTTACAATTTTTTCCCCATCCCTGTTTCTTTTCTTGGCAGTGTTGGAGATTGAACACAGGGCCTTGTACATGCAAATAAGCACACTACCAATTGAGCTATGTCCCCAGTCTCCCGTTGGTTTTCTTCAAACTTTTCTTATTTCTTCTATCCTACTCAGGTCCTCTAGTAAGTCCAAACTTTCTGCTCCTAGGGAGGGAGTGTTGGGTGGCGGGGGTGGGAAACAACTCTAGAAGTAAGACATTTTACAGATAAAAATAGACACTAGTATTGCTGTATGCATATATGTGACTGTATGACCAATGTGATTCTGCAACCTGTACACTCAGAAAAATGAGAAATTATACCCCATTTGATTCAAATGTATGATATGTCAAGATCATTGTACTGTCGTGTGTAACTAATAAAAAAAATTAAAAAAAAGAAACTGGAAGGTTTGCGTTGGTTCCCTTCCTAGATTAAACAGGGATTCAAGTATATCTATCAAAGAGTAAGTAAGGGAGAAATAAGGGCAATAAAAGCAGGCTGAAACATTCAGCGTGGCGTAAATTGAGAGCCCAAAATCTATGCTAATTTGAAAGAGCAGAGGCGGGAAGCACGTTGCAGGCCGGGATTTGTAGTCCCTTCCGGGGGGAAGGCCACCGTGCGCCTGCGCAGAAGGGCGGACGCTCTTCCAAGCGCTTGCGTGAGGCGGCGGCGCCAGGACTGATTGCTCCCAGGCTGGCGGCTGGTTAACCCTCTGAAACACCGTCATGGCGGTGCCCGCGGCAGCCATGGGACCCTCGGCGCTGGGTCAGAGTGGCCCTGGTGCGATGGCCCCCTGGTGCTCCGTGAGCAGTGGCCCGTCGCGCTACGTGCTCGGGATGCAAGAGCTGTTCCGGGGCCACAGCAAGACGCGCGAGTTCCCGGCGCATAGTGCCAAGGTGCACTCGGTGGCCTGGAGCTGCGACGGGCGTCGCTTAGCCTCCGGATCCTTCGACAAGACGGCCAGTGTCTTCTTGCTGGAGAAGGACCGTTTGGTGAGTTACCGGCCCCCGGCCCTGGCCTGGGAGAGGGGCTGTGGTGGAGTGAGGAGCGGTGAGGGAGACAATGAGGGTTGGAGGGCAGAGGAGTGGAATGGAGATCGATTTGAGCACTGGGAGGAAGGGTGTGGGGTGAGGAGAAATGGGAGTTGGGAGTGTGGACGGGATAGGTCGCCAAGGGGTAAGGACGCGGGGGTGGGGGTGGGGGCGGGATGGGGCAGATAAGAGGAAGACTGATGTTGAGGGGAAGTGTGTGTAGCGAGTGTGGTAGAAAGGAGGTGTGTTGATGAGCGGGGTGAGGATGAAGACTGGTGTTGAGCAGGATGGATGAGAATAGGGGGTGGTGAGGGTCCTAGATTTTAAAGTCACAGGGGAGCCGTTCGAAGGAATCCAATGGTAATGAGGAGTGGCTAGGTTCTCTTGGGTTGATGGAGTCCCTGTGGGGTTGAGGAGACCTTTTTGAAGTTCTTTGGGAACGGGCAGGTGAATTGGGATGTTGGTGCTAGAGTAGTGGTTGAAAACCAGAAAGAAGGGAACTCAGATGTGGAACCTCAGAACAGTTCAGAGTGATTAAAGTGGAGGGAAGGGAGGCTATTGAAGAGAGTTCTGAAGAAAGGACTTGGAAGGACTGGATACTTTCGAGTTATCTAGATCGTCTTTGTCCCAAGATACTTTCAGTCGAATACACTTATGTTTCATGTAGAGGCAATACATCATGAAGTGTCACCTGGATTCTTTCCTTTCAGGTCAAAGAAAACAACTATCGGGGACATGGGGATAGCGTGGACCAGCTGTGTTGGCATCCCAGTAATCCTGACCTCTTTGTCACTGCATCTGGCGATAAAACCATTCGCATCTGGGATGTGAGGACTACAAAATGCATTGCCACTGTAAACACTAAAGGTGACTATTCAAAGTGTGCATTGGGAAGATAAGCTTCTTGTATTAATTCAGCAATTATTTATGGAATATGAGCTTTAGTGCTCTGCAAGGTGTGGGAAATCCTGAGCTGAATAAGACAGTCCTCTAGAACCTTGTGGTTTAATGTGGAGAGAGATATATGCATAAAAATGACATAGTTCATGGAGACTTCTACAAGATGGATACCCAGATTAGAAATTTATATGTATACCTGGGAACATACAGAATTTGAGCACTCTTTTTGAGTAACCAAAATAATTTGGTGGTCAAGATGCAGTGGGTAAGGAGTAGGAGGGGCAGTCTTAGGAGGGAATGGCATATGCAAACGCATGGAGACTTTGGGAAATTCAAGTAGATTAGAATGGCTGAAGCTTGGATAGTCTTCGTGGTGTGGAAGAAAATAACCAGAATGTTATATAGCATGTTTATAGGCCATGTTCTTATCAGATATTATCCAGTCAATCTTGAGGTCATTTATCATAATTAACACTTAAGATGTCATTGATTGGGCTGGGGATGTGGCTCAAGCGGTAGAGTGCTCGCCTGGCATGCGTGCGGCCTGGGTTCGATCCTCAGCACCACATACAAAGATGTTGTGTCCCCCGAAAACTAACTAACTAAATAAATAATTCTCTCTCTCTCAAAAAAAAAAAAAAAAAAAGAAATTAAAGTTTAAAAGATGTCATTGATTGTAAAATGCTTCAATATTGTATGTACCATTAGGGAGGAAAGTTGCCTGATAACCATGATATACCCAAAAGTTTGGAATTCATCTTTATCCATTTAAAAATACATCATAGAAATTAAAATGTGAAAAAACTTGAATTTTAGAATTGATAAAATTGAAATTTTTAATTTATATTTTCAGTAGTGGATTATTGGATTTTTTTGAATAAGACTTACTTGGAGGAAGTAAAGTGATACAATTAATGCTTTCCCCAAGTACTTAATTGCTGATGCATGAGTGATTTAGGTGGTACATGGATGAATGTTAAAAATCAGTTATATATATATTTTAATGCCTAATAGAAGAAAAGAACTAGCTCATAGAATTTGTTGTTCAATTGAAGCTAAACTTATTTAAGGAACTTTTTGTGTCAATTTTGAGAAAAAAATCTTTAATAAAGAAAAGTATAATTGTTACATTGACAGGATAGAAATTGGGGAGGAGGTATGTGAGTAGAGTTTGAGAAATGCTGGTGGAAGAATGAGAATCTTGGTGTTAAATCTGGGTTTAAATCTTGGCTCTGTGACTTTATGGCTTGACATTTTGGCTCATCTTCTTCTTGTCCTTTTTTTTTTTTTTTTTCTTTTTCTTTTTAAATCTGTGGATATAAAGTTTACCTAAGAGGATATAATGTGTACTTGTGAAGACCAAATGGGGAATTTTATAAATGAATGTGCTGGAGTACTAGTTCCCCTTCTATTGACTAGAACTTTTAATGAATGAGCTCTGAAGATAGTTCTGGTCTTCTTTCTGGGATAGCAAATAAACTTCTGGAGGATTATGGGCAAACAGGTGATTTGCTGATTATATCTGGGTTCCCAGGGGAGAACATTAATATCTGCTGGAGTCCTGATGGGCAGACCATTGCTGTAGGCAACAAGGATGATGTCGTGACCTTTATTGATGCCAAGACACACCGTTCCAAAGCAGAAGAGCAGTTCAAGTTCGAGGTCAATGAAATCTCCTGGAACAATGACAATAATATGTTCTTCCTGACAAATGGCAATGGTTGTATCAACATCCTCAGGTGAGTAGCCTCTCTCTTGTGGGAACTGTCATCTCTTTTTCTCTGTTGGTACTGGGAATTGAACCCAGGGTTGCTTTACTATTGAGCTATGTCTCTTGTCAGGACACATGACTAAATCAGTCAGGGTCACTCCAGGTGAACTGGGCTGGCATGAAATAATCACACAAAGACACAGGAAATACCTTTTGCTTTGGGTTCTGTGATGGCTCCTCTGACACAGCTCCCACAAAGTGGGCAAGGCAGGCAAGAAAGAGAGAGGGGCATGCCTCAAACCCTGGTTTTATTGAGGGAGGCTGTTTGAAAGAACATTCCATCCATATAAGGCAGAGGGGTAATGTTACAAGGGGCAGCCCACTCCCATTGGGTAGCCCCCACTCCCAAAGCTGTGCTTCTTTGCAGAGCTGAGATGGGGTCCACCTGCTTCTGGGTCAGGGAAGCCAGTCTCTGCATTTCCATCACTCAAAGCTAGGGGGCGACCAGCTCCTACGTGGCAGCTCCCTGCAATCTATAGCCCTTTTTGTTTTGAACTGTGATCTTGCTAAGTTGCAGTCCTCCTGCCTTAGTTTCCTGAGTAGCTGGATTATAGGTGTGTGCTGCCAGTGTCCTGCTGACTAGGATATCTGTGTGCTGGGTGCTATGGCATATACAGAGATGAGTTAGACATGAGTCTGTCCTGAAGAACTTAAAAGGCAAATAGTAATTTAAAAAAAAATCATAATTTCTGTTAGGCACATTTGAGCCAGTTACTTTACATTTCACTGAGTTCTCAGAAATCCAGGGGTTTGAGTGTATGCTTCCTATTTGACAGATGAGGATCTGAGGTTCAGAGAGGTTAAGTCACTAGTCAGCTAATGAGCACTAGAACTGCATGCATTTTGACATATGACTAATTTGTATGCTTAAAGTTTCAGCTTAAATGTCATTTTCCCTCTGGTGATGCTATCTCCATTCTTCCTATTTTCCAAAGTTCGAGGAAGGTTAGAATTGCATGAAATGTAATTGCATATTTACTTGTCTATATCTCTCATTACACTGTAAATTCTACTATGGCAGGGACTGTGTTTGCCTTGTTTATCATTGAATTGCCAATATCTTAGGTTAGTACCTGTAATAATTGTAGGATCCCAGTAAATATTTGTTCTGTAAATGAATGAATTGAAATTCAGGTCTGTTTGAGTCTGTCCTTACTGTTATCCTAGTGAGCAGTATTAGGTAGAGTGAGATAAGTTCTGTGATTGAGAGGCCAGGAGTTTGCCCTGGAACCCCAAGGAAAGAACACATTCATTGTAGGGGTCAAAAGAGAGTTCCTTAGATTGATCTTAAAAGGTGAATATAATTTTAAGAATAGCAAAACAGTAGACAAAACCGTTGTGAATAAGTGTGACTTATTTGGAGAGTAGTTAGGTCAGGGTTGTTGAGGAGTATAAGGAGAGAGGGCATGATAAAAGTTATATAAAATTGAAATATAATTTGGGACTAGATTATAAGAAGCCTGGGCACTGGTGGTACTTTTATAATCTAGTAGTTATGCCTGTTAACTTAGATTTTATTTTGTAGCCAATGAGTATTCTATACTTTTTAAAAGAATCTTATTTATTATAAAACAAAGATATTGAAGTTGTATATGACACATGTTTAGCTTAATGAACATCTGCTTAATGTTTAAGTAACCTCACCTAGGTTGAGAAATAGTACTTTTCTGCCACCCCATAAGTCCATATGTGTGTTTTGTCCTAATCACAACTCTCTCCCTCAAAAGCAAATACTCCTTGACTTTTATAGTGTTTCTTTTTCGTTTAATCTAGTGCATCCTAGATACTGTAGTTTTGCTCATTTAAAAAAATACAATGTCTTATGACATTGGGTTAGACTCTATCCCTTCTTTTCCTTTACAATTTAGCAATTGTACTGTTAATCTGTAGAGAGTCCCAATCTAGATCTGCTGGTTCCATATGTTTATGTATTAGAGTACTTTTATGAAGCAATACATTCTTTTATCTACTATTTGGTTATCCAATGATATAGTTCATTTAGGAAAGGAAGGATAATTTATTTTTTAGTTATCAGATAATGAATTTGTTCCCTATCACTTTCAAACATGACAACTAGTTAGGATTTTTTAAAAAAATAATCATTATATACTTGTATTTAAACACAGTGGAATGTGTTTTACTCTATTATAATTATTATCCTTATTAAAGCTCAAATTATCTTATCTTTGGCCAATGGGAGTCTCTTCAAGTTGATTTCTGAGTTCTTTTTTAGATATAATCCTAGTAGTCTTATGTTTCTTCCTCTCTGATAGGATAAGATGTTCTAGGTTCATCTTGTATGTTTTTGCTCCAGACCTTTAGTCAGAAAATCCTCTAAGCAGCTCTAAATTATTTTTAGAGAAATAATACACTATTGGAGTGACTCTGCACCATGTACAACCAGAGAAATTAGAAATTGTGTTCCATTTGTTTACAGTATGTCAAAATGTGTTCTGTAAAATAAGTAAATAAATATTTTTAAAAAAGAAATTAGCTTGGAATTTCCATTGCTGCTAGATTGATCAATGTTTCTGAACCTTTTTTGTGAACAGAGGTAGGAAATATATCTATATATTAAAGATAAAATACTTTGTAAATTCAGGCTAATAACTTCCAATTAAAATTTAGGATGACAATTTTTTTTAAAAAATATTTATTTTTTAGTTGTAGTTGGACACAATACCTTTATTTATTTATTTTTATGTGGTGCTGAAGATTGAACCCATGGCCTTGCACGCGCTAGGTGAGCACTCTACCACTGAGCCACAACCCCAGCCCAAGGATGACAAATTTTTACATCTCTTTCCAAATTTGGTTTCTTTCCAAACTTTTGTTTTTTAAGGACACAGGGGATAATAAAAGTAGTATATCCTATTGTTACTTTTTGCCTTTATTACATGTTAAATACTATCTAACCACTATCACCAAGTTGATTTACTTAAAATGGTAAAAAGAAATTATATTTTTTGCATAATTTTTGCATGTATTTTCCTTATTTTTCCCTCACTTAAGAAGTAATACCATATATAGTCAGAATATATAGCTATTATATATTATACCCTTTTAACCATATGTAGTTTCATAAGAACCTGTATCTTTAATGTTCCTATTAGTTTGTGTGCTCTTAAGTGTGTAGTCAGTTTGATTGTCAAAGCTCTTTCTCAAGCTAGGCATGATGGCGCACACCTGTAATCTCAGATACTAAGGAAACTGAGCCAGGAGAATCATTTAGCCCATGAGTTCAAAGCCAGCCTGGGCAACATAGTATGACCTTGTCTTAAATAAGATGAATCAGGAAGGGTTCCTGGGAACATTATTCCTGTAGTTCTTTTTATAACTTATTTATACTTATAAAACTTTTAGATACTTTATTAAATTTTTTTGGTATTCTTTATATTTGGTAGTTTTGCTGGATGTAAAAATCCTTGATTCATAAATTCTTGCTGTTTATCTTAAATATACTACTCCATTTTCTTTTCACATAAAATGTTGCTGTCAGAGTCCGATGATAATTTAAGTCCAATAATTTTACTAGTATGTGTCTAGGTGTTGGGTTGTTGGGTTTATATTCTCAGGTATGTGTTGTGCTCTTTCAATATGTAGCTTGAATACTTTATTTCAGGAAAGTTTCTTGAATTGCACTTTTGGGTATTGTTGTGTAGGTTTTTTCCTTTCAGTGTCGCCTGTCATTGTCTTAGCATCACAATTCTCTTCTGCAGAATGATTGCTTTCTATCATGTTTCTCAGCTACCCGGAACTGAAGCCTGTGCAGTCCATCAACGCCCATCCTTCCAATTGCATCTGTATCAAATTTGACCCCATGGGGAAATACTTTGCCACAGGAAGTGCAGATGCTTTGGTTAGCCTCTGGGATGTGGATGAGTTAGTATGTGTACGGTGCTTTTCCAGGTAAACGACTTAGTCATCATTCCTTTGGGGTGACTAAATTTTATTGCATCCTGGGTAAAACTGTACTGTCTTCTTTTTGGTAATTCTCATGTCTTTCTCCATCCCCCTTTATAGGCTGGATTGGCCTGTGAGGACCCTCAGTTTTAGCCATGACGGGAAAATGCTGGCATCAGCATCGGAGGATCATTTTATAGACATAGCTGAAGTAGAGACAGGTAACTTCATGAGAATCTTTTTCTGTCTTTCGTCCCTGGGTTTCAGGCCTTCTTTTGTTATGTGTTTTTAGCTCTGCACGTTACTGCTTCACCAGTGTTATCATAAATGAAACTGTCTCCTTGAGACAAGTTTGTTTATGTTATGACTTCATTGCCAGGTAATAAAAGAGTAAAAGGTTAGATAAGAAAGTGGCAGACCTGACGGAAAATAATTTAGGAAAATATTTTACATTTTTTTAACTTTTAATTCTTCCACTGTAAAGAATTTTTTTTTTTTTTTTAAGTAGAAAGAGGTCAGGAAGAAGAAAAATATGATCTGTGATCCCATCATCTGAATACAACTCCCGCTCCTTTTTTTTTTAACATTACCATATATTTCTGTCTTTAGTTTCTATATAACTTGGAAAAATTTTGTTTTAAATTTAAGGAATTATCAAGGCTTCTTTTCTTTAAACAAAACAGAAGTTGAAAATAAAAAAACGGGGGAAAAATTCATTGTACAATATAATTTTCTTATGGTTCCCCTGCTCCTGTACTAGAGAATGAACCCAGGGGCACGGTAGCACTGAGCTATATCTCCAGCCCTTTTCATTTTTTATTTTGAGAAAGGGTCTTGCTAAGTTGAAGAGGCTGGCCTCAAACTTGTGATCTTCCTTCCTTAACCTTAGTCCCCAAGTAACTGTGATTCTAGGTGTGTGCCACGGCACCTGGCTAGATTTATTTATTTATTTTTAATATTTATTTTTTAGGTGTAGATGGACACAACACAATGCCTTTATTTTTATGTGGTGCTGAGGATCGAACCCGGGTCCTGCCTGTGCTAGGCGAGTGCTCTACCACTGAGCCACAATCCCAGCCCCTAGATTTATTTTTTAATGTGTCTTCCTTCCTTCCTTCTTTCCTCACTCCCTTCCCCTCTCTCTTCTTTCATTATAGCCAGGTTTGGTGGTGCATGCCTACAGTACTGAGACAGGTAATTTAACAGGAATCTGTCTACCTCCACTCTATCCCACCTCCAAAAAGAATCCAAACTATGTAGAATTCCCCCTTTCATTTCCCCCTGAAGAAAACAGAAAAAGAAACCTTGAGATTCTACTATTTAAAGAATACCTGTTAATAACATGCTAGGCAAGTGCTTTACCACTGAGCCACAACTGCAGCCCTTATCAAATATTTTTAACATACGTATTTTTAATTTTCTTTATAACCTAGTTTAAAAATTTAAAAGTAAGGTGATTATCAAAATAAAGTATGATTACATTATTGATAGCATTGTTTTGTGCATAAATGAGAATACCTAAAGTTACTTTAGGGGATCAGTTAAGTTAATACACCATATTACTGTGCTAAGAGGAAGAGCTAGGTCTGTATGTGCTCAGATGGCAGGTCTGCAGATCATATGGTTGAATGAACAAAGCAAGTAACCAGACTCTTCATGGGTTGTGTTTCTGTTTAGGTAATAAAACTAAAACTTAATTGTAAAAGAACTTTTTATAAAAACTATATCAGATGTAGAAGATTGGGAGAAGGCCACGTGATAGAGAAAAAGGATAAATTTAAACTTACATTGGTGATTTAATATCACTAAAATTAAAATAAATAAAAATTTCAGTCCCTCAGTTACTCTAGGCACATTTCATTTCATGGACTCAGTAGCTGCATGTGGCTTGAAGCTACCATATTGGACAGTGCAGAAGAGGATGTTTCCATTGCAGATGTTTCTGTAAGGCACTGCTCTATGCTCTGTTCCCTTGCATTGTTTGAATTTTATATGGTAATGCATCTTCATTTGTGCTTTAAGAGTAATAATGTGCTTATTATAAAATATTTGGAAAATGCTCGAAATATAAAGAAGCAAGTAAAAGTCACCCATAGTTCCATAACATTTTTGTGTATTTCTTTCTAGTCTGTCCCCCACAGTATTTTTTTTTTTTTTTGGTGTGTTATAGGAGCAAATAACATTTTAGATACAATTTTATATTCTGTGTATTTTAATGGTTAAAGTTAAAATAAGAAGTAGTTTTTTTTCTGGTAGCATAATAAAACAGAACTTCGTTTTAATATAGTCCAGTTATTTCAGCTCCTCAATACCATATACTGCATCAGTCTACTTCATCTTTGGTGGTCTGGAATGGTAATGCCAGTCTCATATAGTCAGCATGGTATGTATCTTTCAATGATTAAACTTTCCAATAAGACCAGGGTGTTAAATTTATAAAGCTACATGGTTATTTGGAAAACATTTTAGAAGCCCTCTAGGGTCTACTTGTTTTTTTTTTAAAACTGTGTTTGTTATCTTAACCAATCCACAACAGATAACATGGAATTAATGGCCCAAGAGAAGTGAAAGAGGTGTAGTAGCTTCAGAAACATTTTTTTTTTATGTTCTTATAACTTGGAAATTTGCTCAGACATATAGCTGTAAATGTTAGATCATATCATCATGAAGAATGGTTTCTGTGAGGAAAAATGTGAATTGTCCCTGAAATAGAATTACTTAAAAAATTAATTCATACATACACAATGTATGAATATAAATATTTCTATTTAATAGCTTTGATATAATTTGTATACCATATAGTTGACCTATTTGAAATGTATAATTCACTGTATCCTGTATCTTTACATTAGTATCACACTGTAGGTATTTTATTATATAATCTTAACTGAGATTGGAAAAAAGTTTAGCACAGCTAAAGAATGTCAGATTTCATGTATAATTTTGACAAATTGGGAAAAAAAAGACTTGGGGAAAAAGGTCTGTTTGCAAGGCATTATGGTTTAGTAGATCTGTTTCTTTGGAGACAGACTGACCTCATGTGCTGTCTCTGCTTTTTCCTTGAAGTGTGATTTTGTTAAGTTACTTTTTTTTTTTTTTTTTAAATAAAATGGGCCTTAAAGTTGTTAACTGCCTTATTGGGCTGTTCTTGGTATTCAATAAAATATAAACCATTTGATACTTAATGGGTGCTCAACAAATAGTAGCAGCTGTTACTTTTTTTCCCAGGTAGTATAGAATAGAGGTTCAGAGTACTCAGCTTAACCTTCTTGTGTTTAGACTCTGCTCTGCCACCTACTGGCTTGTGACCCATATGTATCTGTCTCAGTGTTCTCTATAAAATGGGGTAATAATTATACCTATCTCAGGATTGTTAAGTGGATTGCATGAATTTATAGAGGTGAGTACTTAATTAAATTGATTTGTTTTTCTATGTTGATTTCTGTAGGAGACAAACTATGGGAGGTGCAGTGTGAGTCCCCAACCTTCACTGTGGCTTGGCACCCCAAAAGGCCTCTGCTTGCATTTGCCTGTGATGACAAAGATGGCAAATATGACAGCAGCCGAGAAGCTGGGACTGTGAAGTTGTTTGGGCTTCCTAATGATTCCTGAGAGGAGGACCTGACGTAAGGAGAGGAAGCCCCGCAGAGACACCATGTAGTTTGGCCTGTTCTCCTGGACTTGATGGATACCCTAAATTTTTGTAAATTGCTAAAAATTATAAAAGTCTTTTGTGAAGCTGCCGGTTCCAGTTCCCTTCCCATGTTTTATGTTAGCTTTTCCATTTCCACCCCCCCCCCCCCCCGTATCAGTTGGCTAAGGAGGACTTTGCACTGTGGGACCTCCTGTCTTCCCTGATTTTAGATATGTGGCAGACTTTGTTGAGCTTGATGCCTAGTTTGGAGAGAGGGTGGGATGGGGATGGAGGCTTTTTAATGATTAAGAAAGAAATATATATATGTATAGTTTTGTGAATTGAGCATTTAACAAAACTGACTTTTTATTATGGGGTTTTGGGACTTTTATAGATATGTATTATTGTTAAAGGGAGATATTGCTGTTTGTATTTTCTTTTATAATCTGAGAAATAGAGTTTAAATGGTATAGTTCTGTTTAATGACCTAACCAAAGAACCTGAAATAAAGGAACAAAGCATTTAGTGCATGGGCTACAGCAACCCTTAGAAGTCATCAGTGGTTTCTGTGAATGTGTGTGTGGGCCTGGCTTCAGTATACACAGGATTTGTAGATAAATTATGACAAACACTGAGAAAAGTTATAAAATATAAACGAGGGCTGGGGATGTGGCTCAAGCGGTAGCGCGCTCGCCTGGCATGCGTGCGGCCCGGGTTCGATCCTCAGCACCACATACAAACAAAGATGTTGTGTCCGCCGAAAACTAAAAAATAAATATTAAAAATTCTCTCTCTCTCTCTCTCTCTCTCCCTCCCTCTCTCTCTCTAGCTTTAAAAAAAAATATATAAACGAGAAAGACAAAATCAGGATAAGACAAATGTAAATTAGAACAGAAAGTTATGACGGGAAATTAAATAGAAATATGTAAATATTGTTAAAAAGAAGAACATGCCGGCTTCTCATGGAAAGCAAAACCTCTTACCTCTAAGAGAAGTGGCTCATGCAGGGGGACTTGTTACCTATGAATGATATTTTGATTTTTCATTGTATCTTAATTTTTTTGTCAATAATAATAAAAAATAGAAATGTGCCTCAGTAAATGTTTGTAAGGAATTTTGGGAAAAGTAGGTAAAAAGAAAAATTATTCCTGGCACCAAGAGATAACCATTATTAGCTTTTCAGTGGATAGCCTTCTGAGGTTTTCCTGTGTCCATATTATATATAAAAACATGTTTATCTTTCTTTATATAATCCTTGAAGGGTACACAAATCAAATATGACAAGATACATTAGGCAACGTGCCCAGTACCATGTTGAGTGCTATTATAAACAGTAAGTCTTAATAGACATTTTTAGTTATTAGGCATTCCCTTCGTGTCTAGTACTGTAACGAGCACTTTACTTCAGTTGTTATTCAGTTTTTTGTTTTATGTTTGGTTTTTTGGAACTGGAGATTGAACTCAGAGTTACTTTAACACTAAGCTACATCCTCAGCCTTTTAAATTTTTATTTATTTTGAGGCAGTGTCTTGCTAAGTTGCTTAGGGCCTTGCTAAATTGCTAACTTTGGTGTTGAACTTGTGATCCTCCTGCCTCAGCCTCCTGAGTTGCTGGGATTATAGGCGTGCACCACCACCATGCCCAGTCGTTTAGTTTTTATAACAGCCTTCCGAGTTGGATATTTTTACCATTTACTACCCCAGGGAATTTGAGTAAGTGAATGTTGCTTGTATGGCCATTTTCAGAACTAGGTTTGCTTAATGGCCCATATGCCTTCCATTGCAATGGGCTACCCTTTTTTTGCAGGTATTACCATTCCCATTTCACAGATGAGTAAACCTTGGTTCTGAGAAGTTGACTAATGGCCCAGATTGATGAATGATTGGTTGAAACTGGTCTTGAGGTTCAGTAGTGTTTCTTTCAGTCCCCCAAACAACCTTTGTCACCCACCTAACCTGAAGAATGACTTTTCAGTTGCAAACAAGCTTACTATTTCATTATTTCAAAAGCTCAGTGTTATTCTTGGTGTATTTTTCTTGTTTTTGCAGTGATCTGCCTTTATTGTGGTTGCTGCTGTGTTTAAATATTCCTCTTAGCATTGGAAACTGATACTAAGGGTTTGGCCGTAATCTTTTTTTTTTTTTTTTAATTTTTTTGTGTTCTCTGAGTTTCGGTAATGATCTTCATCAATGGTGCAGATAGACCAATCAATCTTCTACCATTTAAACATGTAGAGGGTTTTTTTGTTTTGTTTTGTTTTTGTTTTTTACTTATAACTAGGGGGACACTTGTAGCGATAGACAACACTCCTCTGTGAGGAAAGAGCTCCAACTTACGGCAGCCTTTGCAGACTGTCAAGCTCTTGATAACACCATCTCTGCCTTGGCTGTGAAGTTTCAAAGTTGGGTCCATCCTGGGGAAATGACATCACGTGTTCCAGACCAAGAGCCCTCCATAGTTTGAGTGATTTACTAATCTGCAGAGCTAGAAGGATGCCTGCTGTTCAGAGTCACAGCTGGCCATTTATTATTCATTGAGTCCCGGCACATTGTACAGTTGCTGTATCAAACACTAGTGGGCTAGAGGTGAGTGGTGAGGATAGTGGTGGGATTTGCTGTACCTATAACCCATTGCTGTGTTGATTGGAATTACTAGTCAGGCTAAGAAATAGGAACTTCATAGTGTCATCTCTTCTGCCAAGGTCCTGGCATTTGTGTGGCATGAGATCCAGGGCAGGTTGAGCCATGCCAAATGTTGAGCAATGTGTATGCCTGGGGGTTGTTACTCTTACCCTAACCAACTTTGGGATAAGACGTGGCAGCTGAAGTCCCGACCAGAGACAGATGCAAGATCCAAAATCAGATGGGTTGAGGGAATAGCTAAGCCCAATGCAAGCTCTCCTTGACAAAGGAGACTGAGGTGGGGTATGAGAGGGGGGAGAGGCCATCCCCAGAGGGTTGTGTGTGTGTGTGTGTGTGTGTGTGTGTGTGTGTGTTTGAGGAGCTGGAGTGTGATGTGATGTGTGGATAGGTTCAATTTATAGTGGCAGGTAATGCCCTTGAGACCTTGCCTGTTTCAGAGATGTATTCTACTACCTAATGTTTTTAGTCACAAAATGGACCTTGAAATGTCCACCCTTTTTGGAAGGAAAAGTGCCCATAAAATGAAAAAGTAATCAAGGGAGGAGAGATGGTTTACATGGAATGCATTATAAACTCAGGAATACCTTTAAAGGTAAAGATGTTGCCTTCTCTCTCTCTGTGATAGTGGTACAGTGAAAATACCATTTTCTTCATATTTGGCTAGAACTAAATTTGAATCCTGGCTCTAGCAGTGATTTATTTGAACCCACTTTTCTCATCAATAAGGTGAGGGGATAATTAATTCCCTTCTCCATGGGTTGTGAGGAGAGCGAGATGAGATGCAGCATTTGTGAAGTGTCTAGCATCCCACCTGGCACACGGGACATGCTTAATAAATCCCTTCCTCTGGTGTGAGATGGAGCAGTTTCTAATGGGGAGCCCAGGGACTGGCTGCAGAGACCTGTCATCAGCCCATCAGCTTGCTGGGCTCCCCCTGCCACAACTGAGCGAGCCACGTTAATCATTCCAGGGGTAGGTGCCGTGGAGCAGGAGACTTATCCATCACACCTGGGCACAGCGGGTGTGTAGAGGAGAAATATTAGATCTGCTTTCTGCTGGCAGTCAGTTTGGGCCAATGATGGATGCGTGTGTGTATGGGGACAAGTAGAGCGTAACTCAGAACTGCACATCAGTGGGTGCCAGAGGAGGAGGAGGGCAAAGCTCCTGTTAGCTGCGGCTACTAGGAAAGGAGTGGATGAGGGGCGGTGGGCTCAGTGCAAGTCTTGAATATGGTGGATGTGGACATGGGTAGAGACCTGTGGGAAGGGGTGCTGCAGCTTCCAATAAAGCCAAGGTTTCAGTGTCCTGGGATGGAGAAGTTGGTGAGGTGGAGAATGAGAGGGGGCTGGAGGGAAACGGAGGTAGGCGTGTCCAGCTCTGGCTGGTAGTGTGGCGAGGTGAGTAGGAAGAGCTGGACAGACCTGGGTTCAAATCCTCATTCTGGGAGAATTTGACCAAATTCCTTCATCTCCATGATTTTGCTTATCTTTTTTTATTTTGCCTCACACATGGTAAGCAAATGCTCTGAGCTGTATCTCTATCTATCACACTCGACCACTGAGCCATGTCTACAGCCCTATTTTGTATTTAGAGACAGTGCCTTGCACTTTGGTCACAAATCCCACTGAGTTGCTTAGCTCCTTGCTTTTGCTGAGGCTGACTTTGAACTCATGGTCCTCTTACCTCAGCCTCCCGAGCTGCTGGGGTTACAGGCCTGTGCCACTGCACCTGGCTTTAAGTTTGATATTATTGCTAGCATGGAGCCAAAAGTTGCATAAGTCATTGAGTTTGTGTGTGTGTGTGGTGCTGGGGTTTGAAGGCAGGACCTTACATCTTAGGTAAGTGCTATACCACTTAGCTAACCTCCAACCTTGAATGGTTGAATTTTAAGACATCCATCATCTCAGTCTTTTACTATTTAGGAGAAACAGGCCTGAAAACATGCCCACCCTACCAGCAGTGTAGTAACAAAGTCACCTGGAACCACTGGTCCACAGCTGAATCTGGGAGGCCACCATGGATCTCCCAAGAACAAGTTGGTAAACCCATGTTTCCTCTTACCTTTCTGATAATGTTACTGGGTTGCAGGTCAGGAATGGTGCAGATAGGCCAATCAGTCTTCGAGAACATCTGAGGATGGCCTTGAGCACCAAAGGAAATCTGGGCTGGCACAGGCTAATTTGTACCTAGTCATAACTGTACCCTGAATGGAGATTAAAGTCAACTGGAAGACATTTTCTCTCCTAAAATGAGATGTCACTGTGGGGCTTGGGTTGAAGATGGTCAGGCCTACGATCATTTATTGAACATTTATGATGGACTGCATCTCCTCCAAAATGGCAGCTGAAATGCTTTACTTAGCATATAGAGAGAAGGCCCTCTTGTCCTCTTTGTTGACCTTTGGATTGACCAAAAATTGAGCTTTCTTCTAGGCATTGTACACGGTCAAGAAGAATGAATCAGACTACCCATTTTACAGATGAAAACTAAGGTTCCAAAAGTTTAGAGAACTTGCCCAGGGTCAAAGGTCAGTACCTTAGTTTGAAGCCCCTGTTTTTTCCACTGTTTTATGCCTTGCATTTTGGTCACAAATTCCAAGTGTTTCAGCCTCATCTGGATGTGGCTTAACAATAACACAGGCTTAGGAGTCTCAGGAGTTTTACTGTCAACTTTGGGATTCTTTCTTTTTGTGGGAAAGGTGCCACACTGCTGATAGACAGAAACCAGAGAGGAGGAAAATTTAGCTTAGTGAACTAAAAGTGAATAACACATTTGGGACAAGAAGGTTCATTCATTCTGCCTTCCTGAATACCTGTCTGGTGCTGGCCCGAGTGAAGCACCGAGGTACAATGTGAAGATGAAACAGTATCTGTCCTAGGAGGCCCATCCTGGTGTGAAGAT